TGGCTTCAATTTTGGCTTCTTCCAGTCTATTTCTATAGCTATACAGACATCTAATTTGACCTGGTCATCATGACTTTAATAGCAGGTGGTATCACCTGAACCCTCACTCTGTGCTGGGTCCCGTGCCAAGCTTGTTATCTCATAGAATTCTCACAATAGCCTTCTGAGATTGTGTTAGTATTGTCCCCATTGCCCAGATGAGGAAACTGAGATCACTTTCTCAAGGTCACAATCGGGACTTAAGTCCCAGTCTCTCTGACCCCAAGGCCTATGAGTTTAACCACTAAATTATACTGCATCTGTGTGATATGCTGCAAAATATTCACTAAATCTTAAGTACGCAGTCACAGTCATTAGGAACAGTCATTTGTGTCCGTGTATGGATGTTTCTTTGAATCTTCAACATTGAGCATTTGCGTGGGATGAAATGATGAAATGGAACCGCTCCCCACCCCCCCCCAGCCCCGCCTTGCTTTCCTTTCTTCTCTGACCATGGGCAAGAAAGAGTCCGCCAGTATGTGCTGCTGTAACTGGAAGCTCCTTTCTGGTCCTCGCCGTGAGCCCTGGGGGAGATAAGCAGAGATGGCGTTCCAGGCACTAAGGAGACTTTGCAGGCATGCTTAGACTCCCTCAAGCCAGCGAGCAGCAGGCCTCCTGCACAGTGGGACTTTTCAGCTGCTTGTGTGGGATGCCCCCAGGCTTAAACCAACAGACTTTTCTAAACTCTCCATCCAGGGATTCTGAAAATCTGCAAGGAGGCTGTGCTCTGGCCACAAGAGGGCGCTCCACTCCCGGGCAGGCAGGACGGGAGTTTGGGGGAGGTGGGTAGGAGGAGCTGAAAGATTCCTTTTGGATGCAGCTTTGAACCAAGCGCTCTTAAGCACACTCCTTGGGAAGGGAAGAAATGTTTTCAAGCCCACTGAAAAGTTTCATTTCATTCAACTAGTACCAAGCTAAGGGATGAAGGATCCAACAGGGAAAACCACATGGTTCCTGACCTCAAGGAGTCTACAGTCACGTGTGGAAGGCAAAGAATTAGAAGGGAATGTGATGTGTGCCAGAGTCTTAATCCAGAACAGTCATTTAGTAAGCATTTAATGAGCGCCTACTGTGTGCCAGGCTCTGTGCTGGTTGCCAAGAATAGGAAAATGAACCGTACAGAGTCATTGCCCTCAAAGACCACAGTGTACTTGGAAGACAGCAAATGTGAAAAAATGGGAAACTGTAGCCATCAATCTGTTTGTCTATCTGTCTATCTATCTATCTGTCTGTCTATCTATCTATCTATCTATCTATCTATCTATCTATCTATCTATCTAATGATCAGTCAATCAATCGAGAGAGAGAGAACTGCGAAGGAACACCCAGCCAAGTCTAGGAGGGAAGAGGGAGTATTAGGGAAGACTTCCTGGAGGAAGAACACCTGACTCATGCTGAAATGAATTAGGATATCAAGGAAGACTTCCTGGAGGAGAGGACATCAGAGCCAAGTCATAAAAGACAAATAGGGTTTAACCAGGCAAAGCAACGGAGGGTACTCCCGGTGGTGGAGAGAGCATATACAAAGAGTGAGAAGGCCCCAGAGCCAGACCCAGGTGTGTGTGTGGGTAGATATTGGGGACCATGTTAAGGAAATTGGGTCTTTTCCAGCATGTGATGGGAAAGCAGGTACTAAGAGAGTGAGGTGAGGGAATGATAAGTTACCTGACTCTGTGGGTTGGAGAGGGCATTATACACGTTAATATTTGAACTGGACCATGGAGTATGTGTAGGGGTTCACCAGGTGGAGGAGGGAGAGAAATGGTAGAAACACTCTGTAAGGGGCAGCTTTGCCGTTCCATGGGGGCCACTAAACAGGGACTCTCCAGGGTCCCCGCCCCGTCTCCTTCATCTATTACAGCATTTTTCTCTTTAATTACTCCAGAGCAAAAGGGCTCAGTGCTGGAGACAGGGGGTCAAAGGGAAATATCTGTATGGGGTTTCTGGGTGGTTCTGGTGAAAGGGTTCCAAGAAAAGAGGTGGATGAAGCAAAAGTGAAGATTTGGGGCTCAGTTCTTGGCCACCCCTGTGCCTCTGACCTGAGCATGTCCCAAATCAAACTTCTCAGTATAGCTGGCCTTGGGGTGGGTGATGATGTGGGGTTGGGACTGACACGCAGGGTCTGGTGTGGGTGCAGTTGAGAGATGCACCCTGGTGCCATATACTGCCTGGTTTCAGGGCTGGGACCACTTTCACCGCATCCCTGATCTCTTTACTTTGGAGTCCTCATCGTTGGGGAGAGGATAATAACAGCATCTCCCACCTAGGGTTACTATGGCACTTAAGTGAGGTCATACATGAAAAGCAAAGCACTTGATACAGTCCCTAGGACAGTCGGCACTCAAATCAAAGCAGCAGTAACACTGGCTGTTGTTGCTGTTGTTATTATTATGATGAAACCTCCTGTTTGATCAAGTTGAAAAATTTTAAATGTCCATGTTTTATGCCTATAATTTCAGAGCTGTATTCTCTCCGTTTCAGATGAAAGCTTAATCAGCACCTGGCTGGAATCCTTGTTTTTAGTGTCTCCTTTCCATCTCTCTCTCAGTATGAGAGGTCCTGTTGGAAATGGAGTAATTTCACCTCCTAATAATCTGTTGGCAAGGAAGATGCCTTGAAAAAAAGAAACAATTCTAAAAGAATCTTAAATACCCTGCTTTTTTTTTTTATTTCAGCAACAGACTGTGAATAATTGCTAAGCCCCTCACTTTCTTTATCATTTTTAAATTTTATTGTTATCATTATTATTATTTTAAAGACAGGGTCTCACTGTGTCACCCAGGCTGGAGCGCAGTGGTACAATCATAGCTCACTACAGCCTCAAACTGCTGGCCTCAAGTGATCCTCCCACCTCAGCCTCCTGAGTAGCTGGGACTGCAGGCACATGCCTCCATATCTGGCTAATTTTTAAATTTTTTATAGAGACAGGGTATTGCTATGTTACCCAGGCTGGTCTCAAACTCCTGGCCTCAAGTTATTCTCCCACCTTGGCCTCCCAAAGTGCTGGGATTACTGAGATGAGACACTGCACCCAGCCCTCTTTTTTTTTTTTTTTTTTAATTTTAGCAATGTATATTTACCCCAACATTTGATGCTTACAAAAGTATTGTTAGATATTGTCCATTATTATTATTATTTTTCATTCTAAGCCTATTTCAGTCAAGCCTTGCCACAAATTCAAGTGCTAATGTGGACGAGTAGCTCTGTTATTGGACAGGGTAGCTCTATACTAAGAAATGGCCAGCATGTGACAGATCCATTCTTGAGGGCATAGTTATTCTCAGCCTTTGGTATACATTGCACTTATTTTTGATAGTATCAGATTGTGTCATAAGCTTAACTCTGATGGATACTAGCACTCATAACACATTTCTATTATTGCTTAAATATCACGCCATTATCTGTTTCAGTGAGTTACCTATGCATTACCTTTATGATTCTGTGTAAGGGAGACCCCCTGGCTTTATTGCACAATTGTTGCCATGAATGCACCATATTGTAGTGCAGAAGGCAGATGCTCACCCACTGGTGGGGTGAGACCAATGCCCATGTGTAGGATTGAGATCAGACATCACCCCTCTCTCTTCTCTTGAATGAATCTATAACCGGTCATAGATCAAAGACTGTGAGCTGAGGGGTCCCTGGAAGAGCTCCTCTTTACCTTCCTTCCTTTTACCATTTAGAGATCATTCAACAAATATTTAAGTTCCTTCTCTATGTGACTCGCTTTGCTGGGCACAGAGTGTACAAAGAATACCGTTCAATCTCTTGGGTCTTAAAGAGTCCCCAAGAGAAGAACCACACTTTCCAGAAGCTTCTGCTTGGTTTTAGCTGCAGATTCTTTCTTCTGAAGGAACTATCAGACAGATCTCCATAATATAATAATAATAATAATTCACGTTTCTACTTTGTATTGAGTCACTTATGGGCATTTTTAAATTCACTCCACAATTCTCCAAAGGAGGACTCTTTTGTAGGCAAGAGAACTGAGGCTTGAGAAGTTTAATGGACTCACCCGGGGTTGGTGAGACTAGTTATTTGAATCTGGGGAGTGTGACCCCAGCATAGTGTAATTCCTACAAGCTGCACCTGCTCTCCTCCAGCAATGCTGCTATGGTGGGCACAGCGATGAAGGGTGGGGGCACCCAGGGTCCCTCGTCTATATCACTCTTCTGATCTCTGGCAGCTGCCTGTGAGGCACCCCATCAGATCCAGCCTATGATCTGGGGGAGCACCCTCCCTCCTGAACTCCTAAGGTGGGCACCGTCTGAGACTCCTGGCAGGCACTGGACCAAGAGCCAGACAGAGCCGTGGGTGGGCTGAGAAGAAGGAGCCCAGCACTAGAAGTTCTGAGCAAGAGGAAGCATTTGCAGAAGAGGCACTGGGATCCTACCGAAGGCTTAGTCTACTTAGATCTCTTGAAAGTCGTCAGGCTTAACATCTACAGAAATGCACTGATCATTGTTCCCTGGAGGAAGGGCAGTGGATTTGGGGATGAAACATGTAGATGGTGAATGCCACCTTGACACAGATCTGGACTCACTTGAGGACAGCCTGGGATTTGCTGTTTTTGTCAAATGGCCAAAGGGCAGCTTGGCCACAGGTTGGGGGCTTGGAGCTCTGGGGACTCGAGATGTTTAGGCAAAAGTTGTGGGATTGGAGTGGGAAGCTGAACTTGACCCTGGCTCTCTGGAGCTTCTCTAGGGAGCTGGGCGAAAAAGAATGGCTGAAGTGTTTGCTTGTGCTCCATGGCAGAATGAGCTTCTCAGAGGGACCTAGGGGTGAGAGGGCAAACCCTTGTTACCCAGCCCTTGTGTCTCTACCTAAAAGCCTGTGGCTCTTCTAATTTCTCCCTGTGGGTTTTGGATCCCTCATGGGAAACACAAGTCTGGGCCTCCCTGCTGTAACTTTGCGCACCTATGGATATATTTCCTTTTCCTCTTTTTCTGTCTCCCTTTCAGAGCCAAGAAGAAGAGCAAACCCTTGAACCTCAAGATCCACAGCAGCGTAGGCAGCTGCGAGAACATCCCCTCTCAGCAGCGCTCCCCGCTGCTGTCCGAGCGCTCCCTCCGCTCCTTCTTTGTGGGACACGCACCTTTCCTGCCTTCCACCCCTCCTGTGCACACCGAGGCCAACTTCTCTGCAAGTAAGTCCCCCGCCAGGCTGCACTGGGGACGCCGGCCGCGCCACCTCCTTCTCCCCGGCACCTGCTGTCCTCTGCGCCAGGTGCAAACTCTCTTTTCTTTATCTCGAGGGCTTGTAAAATGCTCACTGATAGAGCTTCACCCATGCTCTGCCCATGGCTCCCCCCCCCCGCAACATCTGCCTGTGCCACTCACATCCATTTGGATGGTTTTGGAGGGGGGCATCATTGACGCTGGGGAGGTTGACTGGGTGTTGTCATTGGTCCCTGGTTCCCGTTCTTTCCCCTGCAGGTGTGAAGGAAAGATAGAGGAAAGCAAGCAGGCATTCAGGGAAGCACCCGCCCTCTCTCTCCCTCCTCCCCGCTGTCTCTCAGCTGCCTGATTACAGGACTTTTCTTGGCCGCTGTGGCTAAGGCATCTATGATTCAGTTTTGTATTTTTTTCCCCACTCGGGTCAACATATATAACCTTTCCATCTCAAAGATGTATTTGGGTTCAAATGCGGTTGAGCATGGCCTGGGGTGGTTTACTCTCTGCTCTTATGAATTTCTGCTGGAGACAGGATGGTTATTACTTGGAGCAGAAATGGAACTTTTTGGTGATGGAGGGCTGAGGTTTCAGAAGGTGTTTAATCTTCTCTACCCAGAGGCCCAATTTGCCGAACAGGCACAGACATGGTCAGAGGGGCAGCCCCCTGAATAAAACCCAGCCAGTCCTCCAGCCAAGACAACAACTTTTATTGATTGATTGCTCAAGAAAAGGAAGGGCTCTGAGAATGTAGATGACATAACCCTTGGCCCTTAATTCAGCCACAGGCTGTGCACGTTGTGTTGCTGCTCTGAGAAATGATGAGAAGTGTTCATTGAGCACTGATACATGCTAATCACTCACAGGCAGGGCCCCATTTAGTTCTTGCAACAATCCCTCGTGCAGATGGATTATTCCCATTGTACAGAAGGGGAAACTGAGGCCCAGGGATGTCAAAGAACTTGCACAAAGTCACACAGGTGTTGAGTATTTGAGCTGGGATTTGAATTCGGTTATTTCTAACACATCACGCATCATTTGATAACCATGACGGCTCAAATAGCCAGCAGAATGCCTTTCTCTAAATGTGGGATTTTCTTCATTACTTTCACGTAAGGGTTCCTACATGTTGAGAATTTGGCAAGATCTATTAATTCTTGCCTGGAAAAAAAGGCACATGTAATATCCAACATCCAGCTAGATGGTTAGGCTTGGGCCTGGGTGGTGAGCTTGGTTTATAGCCCACGGGTGTATATGGCGCATCCATGGTAGGAATCAGCTGAGGATGTAGACTGATAAACCATGTGGACATCATATAGGGGTCAATCCAGAGACTGCCTTGTCTCAGTGCCCAGGTTAGGCAGGCTCTAAATCGAGCAAACTAAAATAGCACCCATGGCTCACAGGTCCACACCAGAAAGCCAATTTATTAATTTGTCCAGAGAAATCACCGCCAGAGAGAGCACCCTTCATGAGGGTGGGCCTGCGTGGTAGTCAAAGAGAGTGGCTGCATGAGCGTGGATGAAGAAAAGCATGATAGTGACATGTCCAGTGTGTAGCAACAGCCAGGTGAGGCAGATGTCACAACCAGGAACAGATGCCTGGGTTTGAACCCCAGTTATTCTACTTTTAAGCAATTGTGCATGACCTCAAGTGAATTCAAAGCCTCTGAACCTGTTTCCTCATCTGTAAAATGGGGACACTAAGAGGTTCACCTTGTAGATAGTTGTGAGGATTAGATAAGCTCATGCATGCCAAGCCTTCTGCACAGTTCCTGGCACACAGTAGGTTCATAATAAATGGTGGCTTTTATGATGATGTTTTATTCTTGAAGCACTTACAGCCTGTGGTCTGATGGTTAATTTGGGGCTTTTGTGGCTAAATGCCTTGCAGTTTACTCCCCCTCCCCACTTACCCATGGCCCTAAGGGTGCTTGGCATTTGCCTTGGCATGACTCTGGGTCACTGCCTCTAGCAGCCATCTGTCCTTGGTCATCGCCATCCTATGAGTAAATGTCAGCAGGGCCCCCTCCAGGGGTTTGACCACTGCTCTGCATTTTAGTTTTGGCCAGAGTAAAAACATCTCCCTCCTGCTTTGAAAAAACAAAAACAAACAAACAAAACCCCCCAAAAAACCCCCATGGATTTGAACATTTGAGCCCCCGTCCCTACCAAAGAGTTTTTGAGGATTCATTGTGGCTTCTAACTTTTTGTTCCTGCCCTGGTCTCCACCTAAGAGGAAAAGCTTTTCTGCTTGCCTGTGGACAGGAGCAAAGTCCTTAATTAAAAGGCAGCTCCCAGCAGTATGAGGCACCAGGAGCACAACTGCCTCTTGGACAGTCTTGGTTCTTGCGTGCAAAGAAGTTGCTCTCTGATCTCCCAGAAAGAAGAAAGATAGCATTTGAGTCTCAGTGGAAAAATGAGTGTGTAACCCAACTATTAGCTGAAACCCCAGGGACCAGTTCACTATCTGTTGATTCTAACAAGTAACAGGAACAGAGGCAGCCTGGTGTGGTGCGGCAGGTTCCAGTCTGGGAAATGAGATGCTCTCTGTTGGAATTTCAGTGTTGCTGCCCATTGCCTCTGTGGCCTCTGTCTCTGCCTGGTGTGTCAGCTGCACTATTTCAGTTAAGACTCGCCCCAGTCTGTGAGGCAGGTAGTAGAATTCCCATGTTACAGATCAAGAAACTGAGGCTCAGAATGGTGCATGAACTTGTCCGTGGGGTCCCTTCTGAATCCACATGCAATCTAGCCTGCATTGTATCACTTCAATGCAGCAAGGTCCTTTCTCTATCTGGGTCTCAGTTTCCCCAGGGGTATGCACTCCCTGAGGGTCCATTTCAGTGACTCTGAGGTCTACCCACTGAGATTTCCTAGGCAAATCTTTTGACGCACTTAGAATGCTGGTTCTGGGGACTCTGGGTGGGGCTTGGGGTTGGGAGAACACAGCTACCGGGTGCTGGCTCCTCCTTGTTTGTAATCGTTCCCATTCCCCCGCCACTGTGAATTTCAGAAGAGAACTCCCTGCTTTTGGACCCTGGTGGCAGCCTTCCTCCGGCTGACCCAGCCAAGGGGGCCCCTGGGGCTGCATCCATGCCCGGCTCAGTCTGTCTGCCTGTTTGTCACTGTCGGCTCTGGCTCTGGTCTGCACTGTGAAGGGCAGTGACGCGCCATCTTGTTCCCCCATGATGGTAATGCCTGGGGACAGCATTAGGCAGATCTGGCTGTAGTGTGGCCGAGCCTCACAACCTCAGGGTGCCCAGCCACCTCGAGTGGGGCATGAGAAGGACATCACCTTCTTGGGGCTTACCCTAGTCCCCTGGCCTGGGAGTGGCAAGTGAGGAAAGGGAGGGAGGGGAATGGCAGGAGCCTTCGCTGATGGAGGAATCTGTCTCCAAGGTTCACCAGCCCTTGGGGTTCACAGCCTCACTCAGGTAGGGCTAGTATGAAAGACATCAGATGCTTCTGTTCACCATGGGAGATGTTGACTCAAATGAACCTGCTTCCCAGAGAAATAGAGATCAGTGGACTTATCTCTCCACCCTTGCTGTATTTACTCTGTGTTGCGTTTGGGTGGGCCACCATGCTCTGGTGGTTTGGTTAGGTGCTCTTCACCAATGGATCATCTTTACTCCACCAGTCTGCAAGCTTGTGAGCTCCTTATTTTCTATCTCTGATCCCAGCTGGTGAAGGTCAGGCTGTCTTAAATCCCCTAAAGAAAGCCGACTTCAGAATGAAAGAGTGCCACCTAGATGGAAGAAATAATTGTCATCATTCATTACTGGCTGGTAGAAGTGACTTCGGGTTTAAAGCAATTAACTGGATGCTGTTAAGTCACTGGACAAATCAACCTCTTGAGTCTATTTTCTACCCAGCAACGATGCAGTGAGGATACACTGAGAAATGCATGTAAATTCACTAGCATGGAGATTGGTACTTACAGCACTGAGTCTCAATCAAGGGTGGCTTTGGGAGCTATTGCCATATGTTACATGATGAAGTGGCTTGCAACAATGATGAAAACCATGGTCACAATAGCAATCGGTATGTATTGTGTTGACAATGTTCCAGGCATTGCACAAAGCAGTTTACTTTTATTATTTCATTTAAACTCTACTATCCTCTATAATAATATACTATTATCCCCATTTTACAGATGAAGAAACTGGGACTGAGAGAGTTTAAGCACTTGGCCCAAGGTCACAAGGTCAGGAAAGAGGTGAAGTTTGCCATCCTTTTGAATCTTCCACTCTGCAATGCTAGGTTGTGAAACTGCAATGTCATCTTCATTAAAACTTGCTTGCTCATCAGGTAGGGAACTGAGCATGCTCAAGTTTTCTCTCCGATGCCCTTGCATCACTGGGGGAGCGTGTTGTGGGTGACAGCCTTGCTCAAAGGATGCCTCTTTGTCAGTGTGCTGTGCTCACTTAGGAAGCAGCACGTGCATTGACTGGCCTTTTGCTGCTCCACCCGACTCTGTTGTGATTATTCTAGGGATCCGTTGTCCCAGGTTGTAGCCATCCCCGTAGGGGCCAGGCAGTTGCAGAGCCAAAATTACAAGCTGCAGGAAGCTCCTGCGACTCATCCATCCTGGACATCTCTGGTAGAAGATGAAGAATGACGTAGTAATTTTGCCACCTGCAGTTTTCTGGGTGTTTCTTTATTAGCTGCCCATGACTCACTTAGAATGCTGGTTTTGGAAACTCTGGGTGGGGCTTGGGGTTGGGAGAACACAGCTACCAGGTGCAGCAGCTTCAGGGCAGCAGCTACCAAGGGGAACAAGTGACTGATGGGTTCCAGAACTTCCCCATCTTGGTCTTAATGACACCAGCTGGAGTACCCACTAGCCCTGGGTCTTATGAAATATTGTCCTTCATGAGGTGTCTTGAAAGACGGCAGCCCCTCAGCTCATCCCAACTCTAAGCAACTCCTGCTCTTTGTCCTGGGGACAAGCTAAGAGAGAGCTGACCCTCATT